GGGCTCTGCCTCCAAGCGGTTTCCATGTTATGTTATGGAGAGAAAGGGGCCAGTACATAGTCTATATAATACGGTCCATGCAAAAATGACATTCACTTAACATAGTACACTTAGGGATTCAGGAAAAGCTTTCTGATGCTTGAGGTTTCGGTGTGTTTTTTTTTCTTAATTTTTTTTTTTTTAACTCCAGATAGAGAAAGGTGAGAATGTAGTGCAGACAGATCAGCATAAGCAAAAGCACTGAGAAGGGAAACAGTACGGAATCTACAGAGAACAGGGAGAATTTTGACAATCGACTTTAAAGCGCAGGTCGCGCCTACCAAAGACTGCAGCAGTAGAGTTGGGTTGGGGCTAGGTTATGGAGAAGGGCCTTCAATGCGGTGCTGAGGAGCTCAGGTACGCTGCAGGCTTGGTGTGGTTGGTGTGGCCATATTTGCATTTAGGTAAATTATGCTGGTTTCACAATGAATTTTCATGAATGAGCTTGCATTACTCAAGTTAACTTCGTTACTGAAGTAACTCTAAAACTCGATCCCACTTCCAGACTGTGAATACTTTAATTTGAATTCAATAAATCATAAAGTAAAAATAAGCTGTACACTTTTAACACAAAGAAACATTCTTCTGTTATTTGGATAAACAGAACAAATTTTCTTTTATTCTGCAATATACTATGTATTTTGTATTTTCCTTGGTGGGGGGAGGCAACATCTACTTATTCTCAAGTATGTATATTTTCAGGCTAGCCCTCTGCTATGGTAAAATGCCTGAATTTATATTTTATATTGTCAGTAAGAAATCCAAATAAAAGAAAATAGTTTCTTTTCTAGAAATGACTGTAAGAAAGAACTACCAGTGCTACAGAGTCCTTTTTTTTTTTTTTTTTGGTCTAGTGATGGAACACATCTGCTGGTAGTTTGAGAATGAACAATGACAGAGTTGATAGCCCCACTGAGAATCAAAACTAAGCACCATCTCTGAAGACTGGCTGAATCCACAAAGAAGGAATCAAAGCAAAATTTACCTAAAGACAATAATGCTAAGGGAGCTCTGATGGCCTACTGTCTAAGGCATTTGACTGCTAACCAGAAGGTTGGTGGTTCAAACCCACCAGCCGCTCCTCAAAAGGAAGACTGGGCCTCGGAAACCCAAGGGGTCTCTATGAGTCAGAATTGACTCAAGGGCAGTGAGTTTGGTTTTTTGTTTGGTTGATAGGTGTGATAGTTGGAGCTGTGTGTCAACTTGGCTGGACCCCAGTTCTGTGTGGTTGTTCCCATGATGGGATCAGATGACTGAGTTCTGAGTGGCCAGTCTGCCCAAGGGGAGTTTCCCTCGGGGTGTGGCCTGCTTGCAATGATATCCAAGGACAATCTGGAAGAACG